ATATTCGGTTCCAACTATATAGTGCACTATGCCATCAACTACCCTCGACGTCAATCCCTAAGTTACATTTGCAAAGTGGAGTGGTGTGGTGCAGCCGCCTCGCTTTGCGCTCGCGCCACGTTGGTGGGGCATCGTTTAGACGTGATGTGGCGCTAAAAACAACGTGGCGCCACAGCATGTTCAAACGTGGCAACAAAAGCGACGTTTCTTCGTTGCTCCTGTTGCCACGCCATGCCAACTCATGCGCTCGCAAGGTGGCGCGAGCCCAAAGCGAGGCGGCCGCACCACAACACTCCACTTTGCAAATGTAACTTAGGGATTGACGTCGAGGGTAGATACAAACATTGTGGATGGTGTTGCTGCTGTAACTATCTACGCGCAAGGATGGTGTAATAACACTGCCTGTGCCATCAACTAAACACAAACTTTGTGGATGAGCCGCAAGGATTAGGGTGGTGGTGATGCACTGCGCCATCAACTAGACGCAAACATTGTGAATGGTGATAGCACAAATTGATGAGTCTGCTGAGTACAGGAACATCTTTGAACAGGCTCAAGCAAGATGTAGATACCTAATTTTATCTTCAAAAGCATTATTGTAAGTCCCTCAATATTCAAGTCAAATCATTGTAACTACTCCGATGTTTAAGGTTACCAAAAAAATTTTTTATAATCTACATGAACGCTTTGAGGAATCTGCTTCATGAAGAGACCCCTAAGTTGAGAGGAGCCATGGTAGCGTGATTGAAAGTTGGTACCACAAATTTTATGAAGCTGATGACAGTCTAGGGTTACTTTCAAGGAGGGATTTAGAATATATACCTCATCGATTTATATGCATTACTCTGGGTTCTTCGATGTGTAAGATTATGAACAAAGAATTTTAACTGCTTGGCTTAGCCGCTTTATCACTGTCGAGATCTAAGACCGTCGAGAAGAAATGCCACTAAAGTGAGGCCATGTACTCAAAGAAGTGGAAGCGAACAGAGACGATTCCGAGAGTCAAGTGCCGCTAGCGGCAGCAGCAGTTGCAGTGCAAGCCCTAGAGGCGAACATAAAGTCGGATTAGAGCAGATTTATGCGCTCTCATATTGCCGGAGAAAGCCCATTCTGTAGCAGCGTTTTCTGCCGCACGAAAAAATGCACGAGCATCGCCCATTCGGAACCGACATTTCGCCTCGATTCGCTGCTATTTCTGCGGCCCATGCACCGCGATGCTCCTAGCAAATGAGACGAATCCGAGAGACTTGACGATGTTTGCAAATAGAGCGGAGAAGTTGAACGAATGGGAAATGGAAGAATAGAACAGAAGTTCAAAAATCAAATACCTTTACGGCCACAACGGAAAGCGCAGCTGCGTAATATGCTTTTTTAATCGGAGTTTGCACATTCTACGCCACACCTCATGACGCCGTAGTTGCAAATAGTAGGCAAATTATATTCAGGAATAGAGGACGCAATGTCATCTATAGCCTCCACTCGCGGTCAGCTGGTTCGATCTACAGCTTGATATTAGTGCTTAGGTGCATGATCTGTCGCACATCTCCGCACGCCTCCCCTTTCGGCGATATATCGTGCTTTACCCTAGATTTGAAGAGCATCCGGGCATATTCTCCCTTTTCTTTTTTTTTCATCTAGGCCTTTTCAAAGGGCTAACCTGGGCTAACTTCAAAAATGGTATTCAAAAGCGTCTCGAAAGTCCTCTTTCTGTATTGAAAAAAAAAATTGGGCGAGTGCTACGCTGCTAGCCTTGTCAAAAGCAAGCACTGACATGTTAGACAGTATGCATTTGATTGCGTGTAACATGCGAAAACCTGGCAAGGGCTAATGTAACGAGATTTCGTTAGGCCCCGGATAGACTTCACGCGATTTGATCCTCGCGACTGAATCGCGACGAGACAACTGTTACAACATCATTTCATGCCGATCAACTTGCATTTCGGTTGTGATACTTTTCCAGTCCAAAATTTTTGAATGTGAAATGAAAATGAATGGAAATGTCGGCGATGAGTCGCGACGATCAAATCGCGTGAAGTCTGTCCGGGGCCTAAAGAGGCGAGCGGCACATGAATGGGCGTCTTCACACAAATTTAGTGTCTTGCACACTGATTCTTTCCTTTTGAAAAACAATTTCGGGCTCGCCTTGCACAGTGGTTGTAAGTAGAGAGCCTAGTACTCGATCACGATAGTAGGCCAAAGAAGTTCCAATCTGCTCAAAGGCTGCCTTCGAGTTATGGCTTCACTGCAACAACCAAAATTCCCCGCCTCCCCCCCCCCCTCCTTTCGCCTTAGTCTCCTCAATGCTGCATGCAACATTTACGATTCTATACAGACCAATAAAGTCATATCAGTGCCGCTAGCAAAAACTCTTGACGTTTGTGAATTTTATTATAGATGTGGAATGAATCACATGCCCTGACGATTTTTTGCTCCCTCCAGCAGTATAGTCAAGCTATTCGCACCGAGCAAACGACACACTAAAGATGCAAATATATAGCTTTACAAAACGATTCTATGCCTTTACGTTGAGCTGGAGATGGAGGAAAAACTTTATCGCTCAGATTATTCGTTGACAATTGCTTTGTTCTGATTGAATCTACGTTGGGGGTTACTGTAATGGATGAGATATTTCAGAATAAATTTTTCTTTGCAGAGGTTTGCAATAACGATTTAGCAAGTTATAGCCTTGTCAAGCAGATTAATTGCAACAAATCAACTTTCTTAAAAAGCAATGCTACCTTTTCTAAGATCAAAACACAAATCTGCAGGTCCCCCCCCCCCCTTCCTCTCCCTCTACTGTCAGCCTTTCCTAACTTTGTACCTATACAAGTCATAAAGGAACGACGCACATGCCGGCAGATTTTATCTACATAGAGTCACTCAAAACCTGTTGAGCAAACATCTGAATAAATCAAATACTTCACTATCGTCCTTCAAGGTACAGCCACTTTTGTTACGAGAGTTTTCGTTGAAATGCACTGGAAATCTTGCTTTTTAACAAGGAGGTGGTATAAGAATTGCCCGACAAACAGCTTCCGAGCTTTTGAATACTTGCAGAACAGAAAAAAGTTGGACTGATCATAAGGATGAAAAATGTACACCTAATGATCTTATTCAAAATAATTTTCCTTTTTTACAAACAGATGTACAAAGAACGAAGGATTGCTACCATATTTAAGCTTTGTCCTATCAAGGAATCCCACTTCCAAACGGAAAGTTTCTAAGGGGCTAGATAAGCCACTGTAAAGGCGGCAAATCATATGATTCATTCGTGGTCAATGGACCCAGACCGTAACCTTTTCCTGCAGACCAAATAAGGCCTTCGATTACGCTGTCTTCCGCAAAAAAATCCTATTCATGGCTAATTAGCAGCTGATGAGGCTTAAATCGGAAATTACGTCAAACCTTTTAAGTCGCAAGGTAACTTGAAGCTAACAGATGCAGCCTCTTGAGGGCGTTGTTCTAACGTCCCAGTTGCTAGCGACTTCACAAGAAAGTTTTCCTTCTATCTGCCCTCTATATATCTCCTTCAATATCTAAGCCAGTTACCAGAAATTTTCAGGTTACGATAGAAGTAAGTTAGGCAGGCCTGCATACTTAACGGCTACTCAAAGCGAGATCATTTTCATCGTTTGGTCTCATACTTTCGTAACGAAATGAAAAGCGTTTTTGCAAACTCCCTTTGAATATCTACAGAATGTAGCAGGAAATCTAATGATAGAAAATGCGACGAAATGAAACATTCTTATCGTTATCAGTAATTATTTTTTATTGTCGCCCTCCGTGTGTTTCTGACAGCTTTACAAGAAGCAAAGACAACCTTTGAGCTATGATTTGATAACCCTAATGACCGTCTTTTTATTATCTTAATTGGCGGTTATGACAAGCAGAAACTTCGAAAGCCCTTTATGCATTTAAGACATTTTTAGGTGATTATACTTACTAGATCTTCGTGATGTACATGCCTGTACACAAATGTCAAGATGGAAGCTTTGAAGAGCGCTTTTTCCTACCCATTTCGTCGCACTGGAATGCAAGAAGACCTTAAAGATATTTGGGAAAATGACCAGAGGCCGGTGAGTAACGTCTCCGGTGGGACTGGCAAAATCCCAAAGGATTCAATCCCCAATGTCAGCCCTTGAATTACCAGCAGAGTGGTCTTGGGGGCCTACTTATACCAAGAAGCAGAGTCTTATGGGCAACTGAAGAAGTTAAGAGTATTACGTAGACAAAGATATATATTAATTATCCGCTGGGTTCGTCAACAGAAGCAGAAATTGTTATTTGCACCATGGGGCATGGCTTCTGAAATTTTACAAAAAAAATAGAGTTGAGCAGCTTTATTGCTGCTGTCAAACAATTGTTAACATGTGGAGACTTTATTTTCCGTAACTTCCGTGATTCAAAATCTTTAAATCTGGAGAAAGCTTTTCGTACAAAAATCTAACAAGAAAAGCTTGTTTAGTCGAAGTGGCCTTTCCAAATGAGATGTATACCATATTAAAGCGCATAAAACGCTGATTCCAAAACTGTCTTCCTTATCTGCAGAACATTTATGGACGAGAAGTTATGAGCATTTTCTGGAGCCAAAAATTGAATGTGCATTTTGAATAAAATGAGCTGTTAGAATCTTACTAGCCTTCAAATAACGTAACCAAATGTGGTATAATTTTTTATTTTAGAGTAGTTTTCAAGTGAAGTGTTCTGGTGATTATCATTGCTCCGTTGAAGAGCTAGAAGAAGTATTACGTTATTTTTGTCACACTTGCATATTCAGTTTTTGACTCCAAAAAACGCTCATAACTTCTCGTTTATAATGTTCTGCAGATACGGAAGGCAGATTTGGAATCAGCATTTTATGCTCTACAATATGGTATACATCCCATCAAAAAAGGCCACTTAGACTAAACAAGCATTCCTTGTAAGTCTTGTAAGTTCAGTTCAGCTTATCCAACCCTCATTATAGAACCCTGTGGCAAGAAAAAAGATGAATTACTCACGGTGCGGGCAGTCGTGGATTCGTCTGCGCTGCGGCGTTGACCAAATGAAGCAGTGGAATACTCTGTAATTTAGTAGAATACTTGGGAATTTTTTGAACGATACATAGAACGAGATATTCAAAATTTAAATTCCATCTCCCAAAAATCACAAAAATTCTTTTACGTAATCTAAAGTTTTCAAACGTTGTTACTAAACTTATGGTACGTATACGTCTAGTTCCTTTTATTCTATACTTTTCCATGCTTGCTAAAAGTGGGATCATTTTAGTTCATTTTAATTTATACCCCTATTTTTCGCCTGAGTGCTGTTTCCAATCGTTTGACCTATGTTGGAAGTTCAATTCTATGTATTACAGAGCAACTTGTTCAAACAAAATAAAGTAATAAATAGAATAGCATTTATAGAGAGTTCCTCTCTACTTCTTGTTACTTAAAGCGATGCAGTTCTCCAAAATGAGAGATTTACCAGTTCGCAGTGCGAAATTTTCAGTAACTTCCCCATATATCAACTGCAGATTCACTAAACCCCTAGCCCAGCTCCCCTCCCCCATCGAACAATTCACAAAATAAAGAACTCTTCCATTTTGCATGGGCCGGCAGATGCTTTTGATTGCGCGCGTTCGCTTTTCTATGGTTGTCACTCAGTCGGGTAAGAGCATGGTTTTGGAACACAATGAGCCTTGTGTGAGAGCTTTTGTACGATGTTTTAGCAAGAGCAGAGCATGAATGAATACTTGAGAAAAAGTGATAAGAAAACTGGGTAGAATATAGTGATGGGGGGAGGGTATCTAAGTTTTACCAATCGCAATATGTACTTGCTTGACCCTACTCTTACTGTACTGGGTAAGCTCTGAATGATTACAGTACTGTATGCTGGTTAGGTAAGTACATACCCCAGATTGATTCAAAGTAACGACGATGGGATTTCAAGTTTGTACCATCTGGAATGTCCACTTACCTGACTTTACCGTTATCCGCATTGTGTTTGGATTCATTTCAAAAGAACGCTCCATTCGTTTACAAAAAAAACCGTATTTTCTCAACCTGCGACTTCCACAAAGAAATGAAGAGAATTATTTAACTATCCTTTACACCCCCTCCCCTCCCTTAAATCTCCCTCCCTCCTACCTCCTGTTTCCTAACCGGCGCCTGCCTTGAGAATTCCAACCGAACCTACACTTGCGAAGACTTCTCACTGTCAGCGCAATGATCAAGAGACAAAAGGAAAAAAGAAATTCGTTGTGGCAGCATGACACCTCCCAGAACATCCCATCAATCTTATGAAAAACATCGGTGTGGGGAGTACCTGTTGCGAACAAGTCGGAGTTGTCATCCTGTACCCAAAGCGATTACGATTGTTTTTCCTATGGACATGAAGATTGTCTGGAATAAATTATGGATTTTGTAAGTCAAGCTGGTAATAACGAGAATGAGAGAAAACACGGAGATGATTTATTTATTTATTTATTTATTTCAATACACTCATGGTGCGCCTAAATGAGAAAAAGAAGAAATAGACAAAGCAACTATGAACGAGACGAGAATCCAGCCAGTCTCAATCGCAGGAGTTAAAAAAAAAAATAGAGAAATAGAGAAACAGGATTAAAGAGCCCATTCCCCAGGCCTACCAAGACGTTCAATCAACTAAAAGAGTCAAGCTGCGAACGACCTTTATAGACTGTATAGAATCAAAATCTTGCTCACTCTAAAATTATTGTGGCCCACCCGTCATTGAGTGTCAGCGAGCCTGCGGGTAAAGCTAGCTGACTGGCCCCCAGTAAAGAAGTAAAGATCTATTTTAGAGGGGAGCAAGATCTATTGAACATCTAGATAAACTTTTCAAGGAGAAGTGGCAGGGCATGGGGCTAGGTAGCTGTGATACAACGCCATCAGAAAACCCCTTGTTGATAAGACTGGTTGGTTCACGGTTAGCAAATATAAACATGGTCAGAAACAACTACTACAGAGATGAATGGTACCATAGATGTACACTCATTCTAATAAGAGGCAGAAAAATTGAGGATAAATGGCAGGAAAGATGAGCTTCATAGTCCGTAAACTCAGTTTGGAAAGCGATATAAAAATTTTGTAGTAACACAAAGCTCGAAATCACGCCAGAACTAGCACGACGACCTGAAAAAAAACAATATCGAGATAAACAGAACACTAATACAAAAATGAAGAAAGACTAAGATAAAGCAACTTGCGAATATCGAGATTACTTGTCGACCTTCATGACCTGAATCAAACTGAGTGAAAATCAACAAAGATAAGAATTACAGTTCAGAACCTCAGAGATTTCCATCTTTTGCAGACCCTTTTTGAATACCCACCCATTTTTTGATGACAAAAGTTCAGTAGGTAATCGATTTAACCAACGGGGACATCGATAAAACAACGAATTAAAAAGACCGGAATAGAATTTTTTGTTCAATCTGGGATAGTGGAGATTGAATCCTCCCAGCCTAGAGCTTACTGGTCTAAAGATCCAGAAGCTGCTAGCTCTCAGATCAATTTCCTTCCTTAATATCCGAAAACAAAAAACCAGATCAGAAATGATTCTTCTGTTCAAAAGAGGCTTTAAACCCATCATTTTAAGACGTCTATCATATGCAGGAATATCCTTTCTTGAAATAATTTGGAGTTTACGAAAAAGAGCCATACGTGTGAAGATGCGCTGGACTTTTTCGAGCTTCAGTATTTCCTTTCTACAAGATGGGTTCCACACCTGAGAGCAATATTCCAGGTGTGGGATAACATATGCCTTATATAATTTAGTAAGTAAAAGCTGGTCAGATGAATGTATATTTCGAAAGATTGCAAATAATGAGGCATAAGCTTTTTGCACTACATAATCAATATGCTCTGTGAACTTCAATTTAGAATCAATCAATACACCCAGATCTCTGACCGATGAAGAGACAGTCAACAAAGTACCATTCACTTCATACTCAGTCGGCTGATAATTACCAAGGTGTAGAAAGGAACACTTGCTAGCATTTAGAAAAAGACCATTGCACGACGCCCACCTACTCAATCTATCGATAGAAGATTGAAGTGCTGTATGCATGACATGATGACTTTCCTCATTATAGCATACATACAGCTTGATGTCATCCGCATAAATCTGAACACTCACTCCATTCACATTCAATAGGGCAGGTAATTCAATAGTGAAGATCAGAAACAGTAATGGAGAGAGTACCCCACCTTGGGGGACCCCACTAGTACATTTGTATCTCTTGGAGAATGACTGCCCTACTCTGACTGTCATGTATCTGTTCTCAAGATAGGATTCGAACCATTTTAAAAGATTGCCAGTAATCCCATAATTTTGAAGTTTCGACAAAAGTATACAATGCGGAATTTTATCAAACGCTTTAGATAGATCGGCATAGATAATATCCACCGACATACCGGCATTGAGGGCTTTTCTCCAGTCAAAAACACTCTTCACTAAGTTGGTCGTAGTAGACCTTCCGGGAACAAAACCATGCAGTTCATGAGGAATTACATAGAATTTTTGCAGCACACGGAGCAACTTCCTTCTGATAATCTTTTCCATAACTTTGATGGGAGTGGGTGTTAGACTTATGGGTCGAAAATCACAGACAGTTGTAGCAGAAGTAGTTTTTGGGATTGCAGTCACCATGGCCTCCTTCCACAAACTAGGCATATCACCAAAAGCAATGGATAAATTGAATAGATTTGAAAGAGGTTGCGAAAGAGTGTCCGCACAGTTTCGGTATACTATGGGAGGAATGCCATCGTAAGGTTCTGTGCAAGACATTTTAAGAGATTTCAAGATAGCTTTCACATCAGCAGGATCAAAATTAATCATACTAATTCGATTGTGGTTGCAGGAGCCGTACGTAAGACGATCATCAAAATCTTCTTTCTTTGAAAATACATCGGCGAAATATTCACCTAAAGCTTCCGCTTTCTCTGCATCAGTTCCACAAATATTACCACTTGAACCACGAAGAATGGGAAGATTAGTCTTTGTTTGCAATTTACGCCGTATATATCCAAACAAATTCCTTGGAGTTTTGCTGGACAATCGACGTTCATAATTCGACAGAAATTTCTTCAGATGAAAATCTAAATCAGAGCAAACCTTTTTATAAAGGTAATCGGATAAAGGATTATTGAGTGTTTCAAAGAGGTTACGTTTTTGGCTAATCAGCGCACAAATATGTTGCGGGTATCGGAAACCGAGAAAGTTGCGATTTTTCAAACATCCAAATCTACCCAGACCTTCATAGACTTTGGCGCAAAAACTCCGATAAAGTTCATCCATAGAAGAACAATTTTCGAAAATGAGCGTCCAGTCAACATTATAGAAGAATTCGTTGAGGTTGGAGTAATCAAAGTTGTAGAAGTCAGGAATAGGAAGCATAGGTTGGACTGAACAAGCCTCTTCAACGTGAAATCCAACGACGTTGTGGTCAGCAGAAGCTATAGGTGGATATATCTCAACATTACTTACATTCTGTGTGGTAGAAAAAATCAGATCAAGTACACGATCACCATATGTTGGCTTACGTACAAACTGCTGGAAACCACAGTCAACAAAAAATTTGAGAAGGTAATTAGAACTGTGATCAAGCGATTTGAGATTTTCCCAATCAATGTGCAGATTCAAATCACCAAGAATAATGACAGCACTGGAATGAGAAGATGTCAAATTGACTAAAAGTTCAAAAAGCTGCTCGTCATCGCACTGCGTTGAATTAGGTGGACGATATATATTGATAAACTTGAGTAGACTGAAGCCAGAGGAACAGAAAAGTTCGATCGATATTACGTCAATCTTTGAAACTGTAAAATGATCAACTCTTTTTATGCAAATATCACCTTTAATCAAACAGCACACACCTCCTCCCACTCGTTTCTTCCTGTCGGTACGATGTATCGTATATGGCAAATCAAACAAAATTTCCGAATCAAGTATTTTGGGCGATAACCAAGTTTCAGTAATGAAACATAGATCAGGTTTTTGTCGGCACAAAAAGGTGTGGAGGTGGTCTATCTTGTTTACTATACTTCTGGAATTGAACAAAAAACACTTCAAAGTATCCTTGGCATCAGTTCCGGCACCGTGCAAAATCAGTGGTTTCCCGAGGCTCTACGGGGAAGCTCAGAAACGTGTACAAGCTGCCCCTTATAGACAACCCACTCACGTTCTGGCTTCCCCTTGTTCCGCTCCCGTGCCTGCTGGCGGAGCTCAAATTCCCTCCTCCGTTCTTCCTCGGTCATACTGCGACGTATGAAGATATTAGAAAAACCGGAAGAACGGAGGAGGTGAGCATTTGATAGGGCGGACCTCCAGTAGAACCTTGATGGGAGTACCACCTTCACAAGGCGGGGACGATTGCCAGGTTTCCCAATGCGATAACATTCACTCGGGATACAGTCTATATTAAGTGAATCAAATACATCCTCCACCTTCTTTTTCAAATCCAACGCGCGTTCGGATGCCCGGAGACCTTCGGGTGGTTCAGCTATACCGCTGACGACCACAGTTCTGGACCTTTTCTCTTCTTCCACTGCATTACGAATTTCTTCGTGCAGCTTATCAGAAAGTACACTCAACATCCTGCCAATGACAGGGTCTGTGTTCCTTTCAATGATAGAATGAAGAAGATCAAAGGTAGTCATTTGACTGTAACTGGTGTCGTCAGCGGTAGAGCTGTGAACTCCATTTTGGGTACGATCTATTGAAGAATTGACAGGGAGCGACCCGGCTGTTCTTTTGCTACGAATTGATTTTGCCGGCATCGTTTTGATCTACCCAAACTGGAGAAAATGACAAGAATCAATAAGATAGAATGAAAAGAAAACCACCCCAAAAAAGAATCGACGTGCAGTAAACACAACGATTGAGGCAAATGACAAAGCAGAAAGAAATAATGAAATTGAAAAGATAAATCTAGCTCACTAGGAAGAGAAAGGTAAGAGCACGCTAAAAAACGGACCGCACGCTACGAGCGAACGCAGTGGAATGATGAAGAATAAGTGACGGAATTGAGGACTTAAGTAGTATATGAACTCCCGATGAGGTTAAAACGAATTTTAAATGGATCCGTTGACATCGCAAAATGGCAAGTAATCGCTTCTCGAAGCTAGAACCTGCTCATTTAGCCTAAAGCTTTCAAATTAGAAGGAATCTTTTAAAAAATAACAGTACTCCAAAGTTCAATTGTAACCTGTTAATTTGGAGCGCGCTTACTATCTTACTGGAATAATTTCTCTCCTCTTTACTCTTCCTTCTAGTAGTAGGAAGAAAAGCAAAGGGAAGAGAAAAATCTTTCTAGGAAGCAATAA